ACATCACACCTGTGCTCTCTCTTACATAGTGCAATGCTCTTTAGTCGGTAGGCTTATGTGCTATAGAGCAGGTAAGTAGGGGAGTACTGAAACTCATCCTTATGCACCATAAACAACCCTCTTCTGTCTTAATCAAAGGAATAACAACTTTTCCCACCATGCAAAAGGATGATGCTCTTGTTTTCTGTAACTGGATGCTCAGTTTTAGCTGTCCCATGCTATCCCACCAAGAAGTACCACATTTCTTTTACATTCCTATTCCCATACATTTTGTTAATTCTTTTGTCTTTTACATTCCTATCCCCATACATTTTGTTAATTCTCTTGTCTTTTGCATGCACTTCCCTGCATTTATTGAACATTTCCAAGACGTCATTATGCTCACAGAGACCATAAGTGTGAAGTGTGTTCAACTCTGATGCAGTCCATGCCTGATCCAGCCTTGATCTGCTTAGTATGAATTGTTTTTATATGTTATATATATTTTTTATGTTTATACATATATACATACTGAGGCAGTTACAAAACACTCGAAACAGCATGGCACAGCTTGCTTCATTACACAAAACATTGTTTGATGCCACAGAATTCCCCAACATGCAAGAAGGAAGTGTAAAATACTAAAGCATGACTCATGTCTGTTTTGCATTGAGATGTGTGCAGTGCCCAGGACAGCTCTCATGTCTGTCTACAGTGGCTCTACATGCTTTGTTTTTGAATTAACCTTTCTGTAGCTGGTAACAGCTCATGCTTCTTTAAAAACAGGAGCAACAAATTGCATGCCTTCTACCTGTGTATTTTTATGATGCCAATCAACCTGAGACCCAGGCACTAAGAGATTAGTGGTAAAGAGAAGATATTTGCTCAATGCCAGCTAATTTTAGAGTTATTTAGATCTCTGTTCACTGCTGCTTCTATCTCTGTTCACTGCTGCTTCTATCTCTACTGGGTGGACAATTAGCAAGCAGATTTTACACGAGTTGTGCACTTGGACTTCTCTTTCTTACACTCCTTTTTTGTGCATCTCTCCAGCTCCGCTTTCAGAACTCCACTGGCTCTTTTCAACCATTTTTTAGGCCAGGAAATGATCCTTGTTCCCTTTTGCAACCCTGCATGGTCTTTTACATTCAGAAAGATAAAAAATAAAGACTTCCCAGGAACTTGTACTGTTTTTCCATGGATGTCTGCATTTACTTTGGAGCAGGGGAAATTTGGGGGGAGAGGAAGCAAGACTCTGTTTTACATCATTGGGTTTTAGCAAAAGAGACTCATAAGACATAGTGCTCTTTTCACAGACTCCTTTGCTGTCTGATTGACTCTACCTTCAGTCCTTAAGAGACTTTCCTGATGACAGTGGAAGATTTATCCCAAAGTCTATGGCTGGGTTTTTGGGAAAGCAAACAACCGCAAAAATGTATAGAGCTCTGCTGCATTGCAGGGATGGAGGAGGAATCTCCATCTAACTAGTCATGGTTTACTTAGGGCATACAGAACATTCTTCATGTGGCTTGGATGTGCGATTACTGTGCACTGATAACTTTTGAACCATCCCTTTTGTGTAAACCCACTGGCAGCAGCATGATCTTCAAACAGTTTCTAAACACAGGTGGTTTTGACCAAGACCTGTAGGTTCTTGCAAAGATGTTTGTGGCAGAAGAGGTATTTAAATTGAAGACTTACAAGGACTTCTTTCTTTCAGTCTGATGATGATATTTGTTCTTCTTTACAATGTTCCAACATTTTTAGTTGACAAAACTCAACTGTTGGGGTATTTTTTTTCAGGAGCTAGTAAGAACTGTGTCACCCAGCACCTTGTTATAAACATTTTGTTCCTTTCATGTCAGTTTTGCCTTCACTAGAAGCATTTGCAGCAATACAGTGATCTTCAATTACTGTAATACGGATGAGAGCATTCTCCAAATTGTAGCGGTTTCTTGAGCAGCTCTTAAATAGAAGCATCAGCTGCAAAGGAGCCATATGGCAGTTCGGGCAGTGGGTCTTTATCTGCCCATACCTTCATTCCTGCTTATCACTCCTCCATCCAGAAGTTCTGATACCTTCATGCCTCGCCTGTGAGTACTTGTGATTTTTCAGACGTGGAAAGACTTTTGTCTCTTTCTTAAAAGATTCAGTTGTTTAAAACTGGTGGAAGGCTGGTCCTTGGAGGCTGTTCTAAGGACGATTATCTGTTGGCAGCAGCTTAAACAGCAGTTTCTCAAACAAGGTCAGTTTGTGCTACACAAAAGAATGTTTCTATTCAGTGTCAATGAAAGAGCTTTCCTGATTACAAGAAACAAAGATATTTCTCTGCTAGAACCTCCTCCCATCAATAACACATGTAACTAAATTTTCCTAAAGCTTAGGAGTTGCAGCCCTTCAGAAGCAAGCATTGCCTCCCTGTAATCCTTTCCTTGTGAAGGCCATGGATAAAAGTAACTTAGCACAGTGAGCTTACTCTGTGTCCTCTCTGCACCCTCCTCTTGCACCACCAGTTAAAAGCAGAAATGCCTGTTGCCCAGTGTATCTGGTACATCCTGAAGGCCAAAGTCTCAAGTTTGTGTGAGGTGAGTAAGAAGAAAGATGCTTTAAAGCATAAGCCTAAACAGTGCATAGCTGGATGTCAGAGCTGCTGGACAGGTGTCTTCCTTCTCTGTTTCTGACAGTGTTGATTACTGCTGAGAATAGTGCAGGACAAATTAAGCTTCTTTCTTTTTTTGTACTGATTTGCAAGCTGAGCTTAATTACTCTGACAGAAGGTGTTATTGTGAAGTTATTCACACTCTGGTGCTGGCTAAGTGCAGCTTTGTGAAATTGCTTCTGACTTCAGGTAAGGAAGCACTTGAAATTTGTCACCCTGAGGAGTAAAGGGAGATCATCACAATAATGATATGTGATGCTCTGAAACTAACCAAAAATCCAGCAGAATTTTTGTTGAGGTTGTTTTCTCCATTAATACAGATGCTCACTCACTCCACATCAAGTATACAAAATGAACAGGAGGTAGGAGTATATAAAAATGCAATAAAAATAAGTGTGACACTTGCTGTATAAAAGCAGGATAGACCAGACAGGCCTGAAATGTAACTAATTCCCTGTATTTAGAAGTGTAGGTCCAATTTTACACCCCATCCACTGTTTCCTGTTAATCGGCTCCAGCCATTGGGAGCAGATGCCAGCTGTGTAGTCGTGCTGTGCCTCCATGTGTATTTATTAAATTCCCCTCAACACACTGCAAAAAATTCCTCCCAGATGGCATAATCTAAGCCACGATTCTTTGAATTGGACGGATTACGATGCAATTTTATGCAAACCATAATTCAAGCAAAATGTGTAACTCATACTAGTTTTCTGGTGTAGTGGGATGTGTCTGGCCTGCTGGCAGCTGGGACTGTGGCTATATTAAGAAGCTGGCAGTGCTGGTGCTGTATAATGTTACTCTATAGGCACATAGTTAAGTATCTTAATCAAGGCCAGAAGAGGAGGGGTGGCGGCAAACTAAACTGCTAGATTTGAGCCTTTGTCTCATTAATTTGACTCGCACAATAGCTTTACGTGAACAAATCTCCATTTTTAAAGGATCACTGACATACTGAGCCTATTCAAGGTGTAATTAGTTTATGGCAGTAGCCACACTCCATTTCCCTTGTGTTTGTATAAAGAATTAATTTGCACCGTCATGTTTGTGGCTGAGTGCTTGCACGACTGTTGTCAATGTTCTTCTGCAGTTCTTGTGCAGGAGCTGGCATACCTGTTCTGATGGGTTTCTTGTATGGCTGGAAGGAGTGGTCAACGAGGGCAGAAAGCAGAACCTGCCCTGCACATTGGGCTGTGCATTCCTTTATGAGTTACATTTTTCCTTTTTGCTATTCCTATTGCAAAGATGGTGGCAACGTGTATAGAAGCTCAGGCCAAATTGGTGAATGACACTTTTGGAAAAGGCTTTTGGGGGGAGCTGTGAGGGCAGCATGTCAGAACGGCTGTAGAAACTTTGTGAGTATGGGGCAGGCAGAAAGGGAAGCTGCCAGCTTTGCCTTGGAGCTGTTGACAAGGAGAGTTTGGACTCTTGGTCATGGCAGAAACTAGTATGCATCCCATGTGTCAAAAATCTGTTGTGCTTTTTGTGCTATTCTGTACCAAGATCCTAAATACATGATCTGACAGTGTGTTTCCAAAAAAGCAGTAGGCAATTTCTTGTTTTGTTTCCTTTAATTTAAATATCTGTGCAACTATTCTGGTTCAGAGAGTTCAAATGTAGAACAGAAAAGCTTAAGGCACCTGGCATGGAAGAAATCATCCTGCAGATATGAATATGAATGTATCTTTATGCATTTCCTGAAGAAAAAAAAACAAACAAAAATTCTTAAAACACAAATCCACATCTATTTATTGAAATTATTTCTTGTGCCCTCTATAGAGGCTGCTTTCCAGAATGACAGAATGATCTGGGCCCTTTGAACTGGTGCCTGGATTAACAGCTCAAGTGGAAGGCAACAGTGGAAATCATTCTGAATTTACACCTAGAAATGGAACGAGCAGAGAGGTCAATGGCATTTCAGCTTAAATTTATTTTTATATATTAAAGCATATTAAAGTTGAAGGGGATTACAGATTGCCTTTGAGCAGTTTAAGAATGAGACTTTGCTTGATGAAAGAGCACTCCGGTGGCTGTGAAAGCATTCTTGATTTGCCGCTGGAGAGGAGCGAAACAGTTGGGAGAAACCTCAGTTAGATGTGCTAGGACACCCTTTTTGTTTATCATTACTAGTGCCTGTTGGGGTAAATGTAACTGAAAGAGATTAAAACTGCTCATCCAAGTTATATAGAGCTCATTTATTCAAAACTTCATCTAAAAGCACCCTAATAATTCTATTCAAAATTTCCATCTTGCAGTAGGTAACTTTTTAAAAGTCCTGAAGATGCCATCCAGTACTATATTGATGATGTAACTATGCAGTTAACAGTATTATGCTGAAAAAAACCCAGTTAAAATAACTTTTTTTTTTCTCCCCAGGCTCTGGAATGTCTTAACGTAGGAGCAAAGCAGCCTTTCATAATAGGGAAACTATATGACAGCATGCTGTTTGAAGTGCTTAGAATTTAATCTTGTTACTAACTTTGACAGGCATTTCTACAATTACTTTCAATGTGTTCAATAGCCTTGTGGTGAAACAATCACTGAGCTTTTGTTTGTCACATGTGTTTACCCTTTGTCGGTAGTGGGGGGAAGAGAGGTTATGAAGGGGACTGTTTGCCTGTTTTACCTATTTTTATTTCTTTTTTCCTCCAGTGCACTTGTATGTCTTTCACGTTGCTCATACTTGCTTTTTTATCTCTCTTTGTTATGTTGTGTAGTCTTGTACAAATGGCTAGAAGCAGATCTCCATGGCAAGAGCTCAGATACTGCAAACAAAGCCTCAGGTAAACAGGGGTTAAGGACAAAGCAATCAACAGCCCCTCTGTGTCTCTTTACTTTCCGTCTTCCAGCTACCTTTGAATCAAATTAAGGATCAGAACTTAAAAACAAAAAATGCTGGCCTTCTTCACCCTTTTACCTAACTTAAATCGACATCTAGTAAATTTTATTCTTTTCCTTGAAGCTCTCTTGGCAGATGTGCTTCCCCTCTCCCAAGAAATGCCACTAGTGGTGTCAGGAACACACACGATACACAACCCGCTATGTCTTCCTGCTTAAATATGACCCATCATTGAAATACTGATGTGCAAGAGTTTTACTAGGTAGGGTAGACCCTGCTCACACTCTGAATAAACTCAGATTCAAAAATTCTGAAACAAAAACTGTTTAAATTGCCTTGTCCCAGTCCTGTTCATATCATCTCGCTCCTCCACCGCAAGATTAAGAGAATATGTGGTAGGAGTGGTGGGAGACGGTGCCTTTGAGTTGATGTCCTTGAGTACTGAGTAACTAACCACTGCTGCCCTGGTGTAATGGGGAAACACAAAAGAAGAGCAGCAGAGCACGATTTCTATGCTGCTTGAAATAACTGATTCCTGAACCTGACAATTGGCACCGTTATTCCTGTCCTCACGTTGTCCCCACCTGCACGCTGTATATTGCTTGCTTCTCATGCAGGGTCACACAGTTATCCAATAAGTTCAGCCTGCAGGGAAAACATAGCTGGATGTGCTGAATACTTTTAATTAGAAATAGTTATCAAAGAGGTTGTCGCCATGACGTACAGAACTGTGCACATTTGAGTTTCCAGTACAGTCCTCTGAAGGAATAAAAGATATTTTTATTTTGGTGGTCATAAGCATTCCTGTCCACGTTCCAGAGCCTGTAAGGACCAGCAGATAGTACACATTCCCTGGACCAGAGGGTGTGGTTAGAGGATGCCTTTGCATTTGTAGTATGTATTTCTGTATGCCTCTGTAGTAGATTTAAAACATCACTGGATTTTTAAATATGATCACTCATGTGAAAGCCATCGTGACTGACAATCTCACAACTGTAGCTTAGTTTTCCTAGTAATTTTGTTGTTCATCCAAAACATAGAGATGTTTAGTTCTCTACTTTTGAGAATTTATCTCACTTTGAAAGGAAATTAGCATGTTTTTTTTTTCTTGATCTAGCATCCATCATTTCAGCATTTGCTTTTAATTTGAAACTAAATGCCCTTTAAAAATTATTGCCTCTATGGGAAGGTGCACGTCGCATTACATAACACACAGTATCCAATTGAAACTGAACTGAAATGTGTGAATCTGACACGTTTCACAGGATTTTGAGAACTACTTTAATTGATTTTTTAAAGCATCCTGAAGGTGAAAGGATTCTATTCAAAACTGGCTTCTTAACTTGCCTCTGGAAGGCAGCTTACCCTACCAAGTTGTGCTGCTTGCATGAATGGGTAGCACACATCAAACAGCATTACTGTCTGTATTCACAGTACTGTTATCTGGCCATTAATATTTTAGAATATGGATTCAATTCACATTTGATACTTGCTTCATTCTTAATGTGCCCTGCTAAATCCTCTTTTGGAAGCCAGCAAGCGAGCACTTAAAAAAACATAGTAGATTTAATGACAATTCACTGTTATCCTTCAGCTTCTTAGAACCAAAGGAATTTTTCTTGCCACATGACTCCTCAGCTCAGGCCTGAGGGAGATGAGAACGCATCACCACAACATACCCTTCAGTCCAGGCTCCTTCTCGTGTTTGCCAAGAAGGTTTTGCTCTCTGTGGTTCTCCTCTAGCTCCTTCTCAGTGTGTCTGTGCCTCTTACCCTTTGTCAATGAGAGCGGCTTGGCCAAATGAAAACACTTCACCTTGATGTGTGGGCTGCTTTATGTCACACCCATGTGCTGTTTCTGTCCTAAATTTTTTTTCTTCTGTGAAAGCTTATCCGGCCTGGCTTTCCACGGGCAGCTTTGTTTTGGAGGGTTGCAGTGCTGTGTCTCTTCTAAGTAATGACCAATTGATTCCCTCTGGTGTGGCTTCGTTGCTCTTCTCTTGTCGTGATCACTGATAGAGAAAATTGTGATTTGTGTGTGTTTAATCATTAGTTTAATTTAAATATGTATAGATCTATCTGTAGTAGTAAAATGCAAACCCTGCAGAGACCCTACAAAGGTAAGTTAGTTGTGTCTTTTAATTTCCTGGATAAAATGAATCCACGTTGTCAGCCTACTAGAAGATTGTCACTGGAGTTTTTGGAAAGCTGGAATCCAGAAAGTAATGCTTGTGCTTCACAAACAGAATGTTTTAGACCCCTCTGACACCTAAAGAACAATGCAAGTATTTGCAGCAGCACACAAATTATTGGTCGTCTCCAAAAGCTGATTAAAAACCTCAGGTTTTTCTCAATTACTGTGGCTTACTGGCAAGTGTGCCTTGTTCCTGTCCAGATGTTCCACATAGGCGGAGAGGTTTACAGGGAAATTTGGTCTGATTTGGAAATAGGTACAGCTTTATCTGATGCAGTTAGTACTTGAGCCACCAAAATAGGAGAAGAGGGCATTTTTTCTCTGCAGGAGCCTTCAGGATTGCTTCCCAAAGCTCTTTGAGTGACCTGTTGTTCTTCAACCAGTGTCCAATTAGCATCGGACAGATTACTTCACTAATATTTGCTGTAGTCATGAAAAAGGGAACCTTTAAAGAAATGTGACCTTCAGCGATCTCCACCAGCAGCAGAAAAGTTAATGAAGTCATCCAGAAGCTCTTCAAAATTTCAGCAGAAGCAAGCAAGCACATTTAGCATGAGATATCTGCCTTTCTGCCCATTCACAGCTGTAAACAGTGTCAAGCACATGAGGAAGACTGAGGACCTAATTAGAAAATAATGTGTAACTTGGAAAATGTGGTGAGCTAATCAGCTGAATGCTGACATGTTTTTAATTTGATAGAGGTTAGCTGATACCTCTGGTTTTCTTCACTTCTATGATGCATAAATTTTTTTGTGGTTTTAAGAGTTGCCTTCAGCAATTTGAGAAGCAGACTGGATTCCCATGCCACTGCTCCTCACACCTTACCATTCACAGCTATTCCCGTCCCAGGATACATGCAGCACTGACTCATCTTGGAGCATTTCTCCTCTCAGGCACAAAATATTGTAGAAGCTTATTTTTCCTCCTATGTTTATCCACAGAAATAAAGAGAAACTTGCACTGCTAGAAAAAAAATAATTCAGAAACTTGCCTCAGTTGCATTAAAAATGAGCACTGGATGGAGATAACCATATCCTTAAGATCACAGAAACATCTTTGAGAGGAAAAATTTTTAAACTCATTCCTTGAATGCATTGAAACAGAGCAGTAGAAAGAGCTGGCTGGCTCTGGGGCTTGCCTGGCATGGCAGCTTTTAGTGGGGCACAGCTGGTCTTATGTCTCAGGAATCTGCCCAGAGATGTGCTGAATGCCTCCTTCCTGCAGATACCCAAGGTCAGGCTGGATAGGACTCTGAGCAACCTGATCTACCTGTGGATGTTCCTGTTCATTTCAGGGCATGGACCTGATGGCCTTTGAGGGTCCCATCCTTCTCCAAAGATTTTATGATTCTACGAATTTCAGCCTGCCCAAAATTGGTGTGAGAAATGCCTGACTTTTGCCTCCTTTTCCTCTGCCTGTCAGTGTGCAGATAAAGATGCTACAATTTGGGCACCATGAGAGGAGCAGAAAAGGGGAGGTTGGGTTCTGCCCTCTGCATGCATGGTGTATTCAGAGTTTCTGTGCATTCATTAATCTCATTAACTGTTTCTATTTCCCACCCCAATCTGGAGAAAAAAATAAATCTGTGCTGTGAAGATTTTCAAAGCTCTATTTTATATGACAAATGGTTTACAACTCTCCTAAAACTTTGCAACTTTGCCAGGATAATTATTGTCTTGTGAATTACAATGGTGTATTTCTCCATTGTGTGTCCCTCAATTATCAGCAGATCCTAAGCTCTGCAAAAGAAAGATTGAGAAGCTGTTCTTGCAAGTATCTGTTTGAATTAATACTGATTCATAGCTTTCTTACATTATAATGATAATAAACTGTTATTGTATAAAGTGGTCCATTGTGAGCCAAATGGTTGTGTAGCCTGTGCTTTGCAAGGCATGTGCCAATGGCTGAGGCTGAGGCCTCAATAACTTTAGGCTAACTGCAGAAATACGAATTGTGCAACATGATTTAGAAATTGTTAGCTGTGCAAATGCTGGATTGTCAAATGGAGCTGAACAGGCAAAAATTATATTCCCACAGTCCACTTTGCCTTTAGGGAAGGGTTAGTGACTCGTTTCTGCAGTAAATAAGGAGCTGCTTTTAGAACCTGCCAAGTAATTGAATATTTTTTTCATCCAAAATAACCCCTAATTAAAAGCAAAACAAGCAAGCAAAAAGTCTGTTTTTTAAGTAGAAGGAGAAAATAAAATATTTCTATTTTTAGGGAAAATAAATTCTATTTCAGTAATAGATTATATTTTGAAAAGTATCTAGGTAACACTGAGAAGCCTCCAAAGGGACCTTTGGGTGCAAAGTCAGTTTTGGGGAAAACATTTAATATTTTGAACTTAAGGTTCTCAACTCATTCTCCTCTCTCAGGTGAGAAAGGAACCAAAGGGGGAAGACTACCTGTAGTCTGTAAAGCAAGAAGCCTTAAGTTAGTAACCTGATGTCTAAAAAAGTACCATATGTGGTAGTAGAATTCACAGATTATTTCCTATTTTAACTGCTGTGTAGCATAGTGTAGACTTTCCAGTGATGGAAACTCCACTGTCAATATCACCTTGACATAAACCCTTTGTATGCTGACAACTGGATGTGTATCTGCTTGAAGTTTAATTTCAGTCTTCCTCTTTGCACTTTCTGGAGTCCATCTGTGGCAAAGGTCTGTCCTTGAAACTCAATATAGAAAAAAATAAATGTTTAATCTTCATGCAGGACTTGTGATCTAAATAATTTGTAATAGCTGAAAGGTGCTCATATATTTCATTGATTCTAAGATGTTTTCTTAGAAACTAGAGAGAAAATGCTCTTTTGGCATCTAAGTAAAGCCATCTCTTGCTACTAGATCTATAGAGAAAGATGGAGATTTGGTTAATGGCAGGGTCTTTTTCCATAAAACTCCACCAATGATTTTTCTCCTAGCAATACACTATTATGCAGTAAATACTGAACTGGAAGCTGTGTTGAAACTAAGATTTTGTGGGAAAGGAGGGTAATGTTACACTGAATGCGAATCTTTGTTTCTCCTTCAGAATTGTACATCTGTTGGAAGAATGCATGTTCACCAAAAAAAACAAAGTGAATGAAAGCTACCCGGGCCAGCTCTCTCTGAAGCCTAACTGTTGTGTCAAGTCATTGTTTCTTCATTTTTTGTAGGAGAGAATTTCGATCAAAGTCCTTTAAGAAGAACCTTCAAGTCCAAGGTTTTGGCACATTATCCTCAGAACATTGAGTGGAACCCCTTTGACCAGGATGCTGTCAACATGGTAGGTAAAGAAATTCTCTTCTCAAGCTGTTGCCTGACAGCTTCAACTCTAAAATGGTTCCTGGGTTGTTTACCACAGAGCGTTCATATTGTGGCCAGTAGGGATCTTCTGCTGGGACTAAGTGCACCCATTAGGCATTCTGCTTTAATTGCTGTAGAGGGAGAGATATTGTGAAAATACACAATGCTTTCAAGCAAAACGAAAGGAAATTTTGTATTTCTCTCATGAGTTTTAAGTAAATCTACAGTGTGATGAAACAGGTGTAACCTCCATCTCAGTGACTGACTGAGAAAGGCATAGTCATCCATGACACACATAAAATCAAAGAATCATTAAGATTGGAAAAGACCTCCAAAATCATCCAGTCCAACTGTTTACCTACTACCAATATTGCTCACTAAGCCACATCCCTAAGTAGCACATCTCCATGTTTCTTGAACACCTCTGGGGACAGTGAGTCCACCACCTCCCTGGGCAGCCTGTGCCAATGTCTGACTACTGTTCTCTCTGAGAAAAATTTTAGGAATATCCTAATGCCCAATTCTAGATGGGGAGGAGACAAACCAAGGAATTCTTAAGATACTAATATTCGTGTGAAATTTTTCAGTACAAAAAAATCTTGTTGGGGAGAGAGGGATCTTTTGTTCGGTGATAACTTTTTATGGTACCTCTGCACTAGTGCATCCTTTCTACATCTTTCCTCATAGCTGAATTTGTGAGTTTGTCAGTGTGCCTAAGTCTCAAGACCTGGTGACAGAAGAAAAAACTGTTTCTGAAGTTTTGTACAGGGGCAGTGAGAATTAAAAGACCACTGGAAATTTTCTGAAAGAGTTTATATTCAAAGGATGTTTCCAAAATCATCAAAGCACATGTTAAGACTGCCTCCTGAGAGGCAACAAATTATTGTTGTTTCACAGAATCATAGAATGTCTGGAGTTGAAAGGGATCTCAGGGATCATCTTGTTCCAACTCCCCTGCCAGAGGCAGGGTTGCCAACTGCTAGATCAAGCACTACATCAGATTGCCGAGGGCCCCATCCAACCTGGCCTTGAACACACCAGGACGAGGCATCCACAGCCTTTCTGGGCAGCCTTTTCCAGCACCTCACCACTGTCTCAGTAAAAAAACTTCCCCCTGACATCTAGTCTAAATCTCCCTTTTTTTAGTAAGTTAAGCTTCCCAGGACAGAGAATAACCTTTGTTTTATAACTTCAAAGTGAACAGTTGTAATAGTATCATTAAAGCCAAGTCCAGCCAAGTCCATTTGTTTTAAAAACTGTCTGTTTGGCCTAACTAAAGTAGGGAAATTAGGGAGCCCCTTCCCACTCCAGTCGAGTTCACATGTGCTTCAGAGTTGAGGAGGGTAGGTCTACATACTGGCTACTTCAAATCAGAATCAACTTCAGCTTCTGGTGCAGAGGTGAGATCAGGAGCATCTCCTGGCCTAACAGAGACCTGGTGAACACGTGAAAACCAAATGGATTTTGGAAATGCAGTCTGAATGGCATTTAGTTCACATTTTGAAACTTCTCTGCAATAACAAAGGTCTGGAAGTCTCCAAAGATCATTTTATTTCCATGGAATTGAATTTTTTTTTTTAATTGTGCCAAGCATTTAACATGAAAACACAAGAGCAATAGGTAGCAATGACACTGAGAGCTGGCACAGTGGCACTGCAGTCATGTGTAGAAAGGCAGAGAAGAGCCTGAGGCCAGTATCAATCACTCTGCCCACTGACAGCTGGGAATTTCTGTTCTCTGCTTCCAAATGTGCTCTGATGGAGATTGTGTGATATTTGGGTTGGTCTCTGTACTACTTTGCATACACAGAAGGCACAGAGCAATCAGAACGATGTTCGACAAGCACAGTTAGGATGATAATAACTACTGAGGCAATTTCTGCCTTTTAGTTCTGCCCCTGAATTAGGGATGATCAGAGGAGGAGTGATGGGGTTGGGCAGCAGGAATATGGCAGTAACAGGCAATAGCTGGAATTGCTGCATTATTTGTCCCTCGCATTGAAAATGTCTTGTATTCGTGAAGTATGATCACACTGTCAGGCAAAAATGGAATATCAAAAGCAGCGAGAGAACTATTAAAATAAAATAATTGAACAAGCTGCATTCAGCTGAAATCAAATAGCTGAAAAACACAGCTTTCATGTGCAGTGTCTTCGGAGGGGAAGAAAAAAGCATTTACTAACAGCAGCAGTATTTAATGGTCTTTTAAATCGTCTTTTGGAAAACTTCTTTATTGTTTTGATCTGAAACATCATTTAAAGTAATATCCACCTCCACAGAATCCCTTGAGGCAATTATTGGCCTTTCTGATCTTGCCTTGCTGTATTAGTTCTGCCTATGTGTTTGCTTTATGTGAGTTTCCAGAAGCAATTTTCCTCAGAGAAGAAGATGCATAAATCCTTGAAGGTTAACTTGTGAGAACTCGGCGCTGCTGGATGCCTTGGGAATTTCAATTGCCTTTTGAAACCATCCTGTCACTTTAAAAATAACCCCCTGATTCCTGAGAAATCACTCTGCCTGCGAGTCATTTTTTTTCTCTCTTTTAAAGTATGCAGAGTTCTATTTAATAGGGAAATATTTCTTTCCCCCCACACTGCTTTCAGTGATTATCCCTGCCTACTGTCACCCGCTATCTTCTGTGACCATTCCGTGAGTTCTCTCTCATACCAAACTGAAGGTCTCGGTACAGAGCAACTGTGAAATTGTTAGGAACTAATACTCCTACTTTAGTCCTTTTAGGTATGTAAATAACCACATATATTCCTGGAGTCCAAGGAAACGTTGTCTGTTTAAAATTTCATCTACTGAAATAAAATAATTACAGATTACTTTGAAAGAACGAGCCTTAATTCAAAGAAAAGCCTCCCTTCCTCCCTCCCTCCACTCCATCACCCACAGCATGAAAAAGATACAGGGGCTTAAAAAGTGAAATAGAGGATCTAATGGAGAAGAGGTGAATCATGCTGATGGGCATTGGTCCAGGGGGAGCCTTTGGTTTAGAAACATCTGAAATAGGTGATTGCTGGCAGGAGGCAGGGATTACAGCTTACACATCCTGCCTGTGTGCTTCTGTGTTTAAGGGAAAAAAAAAGCATCTCCTGCTCATCAATTCTAAAGAGGAGGTATTGATTAATTGATTATCTTTTTGTCCTGCTTTGTTACAGCTTCCTTTTGCTTTTTCAGGCAGTGCTGATTATGAGTCTATGCAAGCATGATTTAATTCCCTATTTTCCATCTGATAAATATGTTTAAATATTCTTGTAAATAGTGAAATGCTCTGGAAATGAAAATCCAATCCTTGGATCAGCAATCTTGTGTAGTTTTCTGTGTTGTACACAAAAAACATATCCAAAATGCTTTTTGCCAACTCTTTACTCTGGCATAAATAACACAGCTATGATGGAGTGATTGATGTCCAAGGCACTAAGATGAAAGTTTTCATGCTTTAGTTGCAAATGTGAAGCTCTCTGCATTGCTTGGAAATGAGTGCTGGTCATTCCTTTTGATCTCAGTAGCTTAAGTGGCTCTTGGTCATTCCCTTGCCTCAGTGCTCTCCCATCTTCTCTTGCTTTTCCCATGCCTTGTTTGAGGTCAAACCCAGCAGTCTCCTTGTCAGGGTTTGCAGCCAGGGACTTAAAATATTGATATTCTGCACATGCTAAGCTATGGCAGAAACTTAATGGGTGAGAGTGTGCACAATGAGTATATCAGAGAGGAGGGAATAACATTTAAGACTTGTAGGAAATTTATTTAGCAATTGTTTCAGGTGATTTGAACTTCCCTGGTGTTTATCCTTTCTTGTTTGCACCGGTATATATTATTATTTGCATATCCATGTTGTTGTTTTTTGTTTTTGGGTTTTGGGTTTTTTTTTTGGTAAAGAAAATATGATCTGTGACTGATAGTGTAGGGATTATAACCTATGATTTCAAACTGGTCAGATTTGGTAAGGCTATAGCCACTGTTGGACTGGTCAAGATGAGATGTTAAGGGAAGTGCTCAGCTGAATGGAGGCTCACAGCATTTTTGACAGCTGTCTTCTAGTGTTACCTTTTGGAACAGCAGGAGTGCTTTGAAGGGTCTCCCTCTCATCTCTCATTTTCTTCAGATAGAAGAAATGAAGGAAGCTTTGTTTATAAGCACACTGATTTGTTCAGAACATAAGAAGTTTTGTGTTGATGCACATTCCAACATGTTTTGCTGGAAACTTGTTATTGTGTATTAGATAGCTGATAGAATTGCTGAGGAATGCCCGGAAAAATGCCTCAAGTTATCACCAGGGCTGTGTCACAAAGAAACACTCAGTACAGTGTAATCACTGCAATATATTTTGCTGTGTGGTTAATCAAAACTGAGGTTTTCATAATTACTTTTTTCCCACTTCTTCCTTCTGCCAATCTAAGCTGTTCTGTAGTACTTACAGAGGAAAGGAAATGTGATAGCTGTCCATCACCTGCTTTATTTTCTTTAAGAAAATTAAGGAAGATCAATGAATTATAAGAATTCTGCATAACTCGATTTTAAAGTACTGTGAGCACAATATATGCAAGTGAGAACAAATCTAAATGTCTTCATATGCTACTTAAACAAAAGAGACAAATGCTACACAGTAGTAGTGAAGATAAGTCATAATGACTTAATAGATGAGTAATTTTGAGGCTTTCATCAGTCATGACTCTCTCTTCTTTTAAGTAGCACCTGTTTTAGGCTGTTTGTTCTTGGGCTACCTTTCAGAAGGATGATGTTTAATAACAAACAGTTTGTTATGATGCAATGGAAGAAAGAAAAGTGCCCAGAAGGCAAAGGTAACAAAATAAAATTGTAACTTAAATCACTGTTTCTTTTCTCTCTTCCTCAGCTATGTATGCCCAAAGGGCTGTCTTTCAGGACACAGGCTGACAACAGAGATCCACAGCTCCACTCATTTATAATCACCAGAGAAGATGGCTCTCGTACCTACGGGTTTGTGCTCACCTTCTACGAGGAGGTCACAAGCAAGCAGATCTGCACGGCCATGCAGACGCTGTACCAGATGCACAATGCTGAGCAGTACAGCAGCGTCTGCGCCTCGTCCTCATGCAGCATGGACTCCCTGGCCAGCAGCATCGATGAGGGCGATGCCACCTCCCTCGCCAAGCTCCAGCGGTACAACTCCTACGACATCAGCAGGGACACGCTGTACGTCTCCAAGTGCATATGTCTCATCACCCCTCTGCCCTTCATGCAAGCCTGCAAGAAGTTCCTGGTCCAGCTCTACAAGGCGGTTACCTCCCAGCAGCCGCCACCGCTGCCCCTGGAGAGCTACATCCACAACATACTCTATGAGGTGCCCTTGCCGCCCCCGGGCCGGTCGCTGAAGTTTTATGGGGTTTATGAGCCCATCATCTGCCAGCGACCCGGACCCAATGAGCTGCCACTCTCTGACTACCCGCTGCGGGAAGTCTTCGAGCTGCTGGGGCTGGAGAACCTGGTCCAGGTTTTCACCTGCGTTCTGCTGGAAATGCAGATCCTCCTGTACTCGCAAGGTGAGAACTTGACACATGTGGGTCTGCTCCCACCAGGCAGTTCCTGGGCAGCTGCAGTCGTGGGAGCTGATAATAAGCCACTGGTTTTTAGCAGATTTGTTAAAACACAAGTACATAATGAAAAAACGTGAGAGAAATGAGGCTGTCCTAATGAAAGCACTAAATAATTGTTTCCTCCAGGCAGTCTAGGTGCCGCTTGTTTAATTATGCATTGTATTTATCACTTGTGACAGCTAGCAATAGAATTCACTTAATTATCATCCTTACACTGCCCTTGATCGTGCTGCAAGACAGCATGAAACTAATCCTATCTTCTGCAAAAATACCAGCAGCAAGAAATATATCTTGCAGAAAACACTGCTGCTGCTTTCATTTTGAACTTTCAGCTGCATATTGAAATTCAGTGAGACTTCTTTTGTCCTGTATGATGGGATATGTTCTAGTTAAAGCATGGATAGTTTTTAGCACTTACAGGCTGAAGGTTTGATACTGCGTTGGGTTTGAGTGGATGCAGAGGCATCCCCTCACAGTCCTGATTGAAATACTTTATGACAAGATTGCTGGTGCTTATTTTTGAGGCATTTATGACTGCAATTGGCAAAGGCTAGCTGAGCTGGCAATGGTTGCTTGCACAGAGCCTGTACACACTGCAGTGTGCCAGCAAGTTTTTGAAAATCTGACTCCTACTTTTTCTCTTCTGGTTTTCTTTCTGTAATGCTCTGCTGCAAGTTTTGGGAACCTTTAGTTAGTGCTCGGCAAGCTCTGAAGTTTCAGTCCCCATTGCTCTTTTCTATGTGTTGGTGGTTGAGTCTGGCACCAGAGCTAACAGCTGTGTGTGTGACTGCTGTGCCAGCATGCATGGCAACAAAGAAACAAATCAACTTCTAGCTTCCTGATGGCTTTCAAGGGGATGTCCAGGCTTTTCATAGGTTCTATTAAGTTTCACTGGGTGCCCAAGCTGTTTCTGTGATCTTAATCTATTCAAATGTGCTTTGGAGAAGTTAAGGGGAAAATGTTCGGTCAGACTACAATGAACAATATGAAGCTTAGAGGTATGAGTAAATTCTAACAAAAATGAGAAAAGATATGCACACCTAGTCTTCTCAGGAGATGTGGTTCAAGCAACATCTCAAAAACCAGAGAGCTTGAAATTGAAAACAGTGTATGATGGGTGGTTTGAGATAATGAATTTCAGGTTCCAAAAGTGAATACTTGGTTTTATCTTATAAAAGAAAAGGTCAGTAAGCATGTAAAAGTAATACTAATGAATAAAGGACTCGGAATGGAAAAATGCTGGGGGAAGTGGAAGGAGGATAGTTCTGAAAATGACTGAATTCAAAGGGTTGCCTGTTCTTTGTGTAGCACTTCTCCACACAAACTCCAGGGGTTTGCTTTCAAGAACCAGAAATGAAGGGCTTTAGCTGCTCTCAGTTTGAAGTGTGAGCAGAAATCCTGCTGTTAGTTTTGATTAGGCTGCTTCTCCCCTCCCTTCTGCTTCCATGTGTTTCCATTCTTTCTTCCTCTGTTTGATTTGTGTGGCCTGTGCCACCTGACAGTGGAGTTCAATACTAAGCAGCTAACACTTCTGAAATGCCTCCCCATCCCTGCTCATCATTCTTACCTTGGTCCTTGCTTGTGAACTCACAGAAAAGCTGGAAGTTTTTAGTGTAAGCTAGTAGCATTAGCAAAAAAAACCCAACCCCACCAAAGAAAAAGCCCTGCTTGTCACATTGCATTTTAGTAGTGTTCTGTGCAGATATACAGCACCTGGGTGTTCATTACTTTTGTGAAAGTCCTTGAGATGGATGCAAAATATGCATTAAATATTTTTGACTCAACTTCCAAAGTGCTTCTACCAGAAATTCAGAAATTCAGTAATAAATGTTGTTGTCTTCCAAATGATAGGCCATAATGCAAGAGTTTGCTTGTTTCTGTTTTCACTGTGGGTTGTTCTTTGGTCTGGGTTTTTTTTTTTGTTGTTTGTTTGTTTGTTTTAAGAGAAAGATAGAGAGAATTAATCATCTCTGCCCTCCAAAATTCAGATTTTTTTTTCCTTTCCCTCTACTAGCAAATCTGGAGATATCCTTGAGATGACCATTATCTCCTTATTCAATATAGACACATCCTGATGGGGCATAGAGAAAAGCCCTTGGGTAGTTGTGTTAGGGAAGCTGTGGGATTATGTAAATGGCATCGTAATGCTGGTTCCCAAAGGTGAGGAATGTGGAGTGAAGTGCAAAGCCTCGGTTTTGGCACAGCCTAATAGCTGAGCGCTTGGATCCTGTGCTGCAACTGTTTCTAAATGTCATTCTTGCCATTCCTGAAAGAGAAAACAAAGCAGCCTTCCTCTTTTTGAGATATAACTGGCCTAGGTATTACTGAAATTGCTTCTCTAAGCTTTGAGATCCATCAGGGAGAAACACTTTCTTAGCCCCAGGTTCTTTCAACGGCAGAAGATGAAAGGAAGTAATGATTGAAACAAAATCGCAGATTTACCCTTCTTTCCCTTTCTGCTTTAAAGACAATGGGCTCTCTGGACTGTTTCCAGTGGTCTGGGACTTACTGAAGCCTTTCCAAATTCAACAGAAGATTAGGAGGAGATGGTCTTGTGTCCACAGGGCGTGATTTCAAACAAGAAAGCACAATTAACCCAAAGTCAGAGTTCACTGTAATGCACACTAGACATCAGAGCCCTGAGCCAAAATCTGCTTCAGCTCACCAAACTGTTTCAGTGAGTGAGGCTGCTAACAACACATGTGGAAAAAGTAAGCTGACTTTTTTTATGTTTCCCTTGGCCATGTTGGAAGGAAACTTTTCATTAAAGCTTGCCAAGGAATGTTTTCATTTTTTAAAGAATAAGGACTATTTCTTGACAGTTAAGTAAACACATAAATTGTTGTGCAATCCTGACCATAGAATAAGTCTGCTGGCTGTCTGCTGGGAACCTGAAACTTCTCCCAAAACATCTGCCTTCTAAAGGCAGATTACATTTTGAGGAAAGAGAGAGCTCTGAATACCTCAAATACTGGAAACAGCTGGCCAGAGCTCCAAGCTCTACTGGCTTTAAACCTTAGCTTTATAAGCAACCTTGGGTAGTGGGCTGCCAGGGCAAAGGATGGTGTTCAGGTGAAGGTGCACTCTATTCACTGACCAAGTTGGGTATTAAGCAGGAAAGGATGGACAGGAGGGTTACACAAAGATGGTACTAGCTTTTCTGAAGTGTTCTTCTCCCTAGCCAATAAGAAGTTAAGGATGAAACAGTTTATTTCTAGCCATGTAGCTGAAGAACAGTGTTTCCTCAACAAAGGCATGCAAGAGAGAGGAGGTGAAGGTGTTGGGTGACGTTGTCCAGCTTGCCCTGAAAGTGTTCCCATCATGATACAAGAGTGTAAGGGCCAACTGGTAGGTATTTGTGCTGTGGCTGCTGCAGTCAACTTGGTATCTAGCTACTCTGCAGTGTTTTATGGATTTTATTTATCCCATTTGTTGTTCAAAAGAAGGGATTGAAGTAGGCTGTAACTTCATTTCACAGCAATGGCAATTGAACTAAGGGGCAGAGAGACTGCCGTAGGAAAATGATGAGCTCATTCTCTTAAGCTTCTTGGTTCCCAGACTTTTTGGGTTGCAGGCAACTACCTTAATCTTCAATTTGTCACTCACTTATAGTTTAAGCTTTAAAGCAGTCTGGTGCTGCAGAACTGTCACTGTGGCTTTATGAACCAAACTTGGGATTGTGTACTTCCAGAGCAAAAGCCACTGTGACCAAAGTATTTCAATCTGAAAACACAAAGCATCTGGTCCGAATGTGCTGTGGTGGTGTCAGGGCAAAACCTGAACAAAGATAGGACAGGCAAGAGCTAGCAGGGACCTGGGCTTGCACTATCAATGGCAGGACAAAAAAGACAAGTCCTTAACTCTATTGGAGACAACACAGAGTTCCATGGGCTTACTCTAGTTGTTTTCAGTAGGTATGTGCAACAGACTGCTAGAAGTGACAGATTTGGCTTGCAAAGTTGGAAGCTGTACCTGGAGGCTCTGGAAGCAGAACTCCTGTGGCTTCAGGCTACAGCATTCTGGATATGGAGAGTATTTTAAATAGTGCCAGATTTTAACACTGGACATTTTAAAGCCAAAGGGAAGGTTTAGATATTTTTTCTCCGCAAGTCTACAGGATGAAGTTTCAGTATTGCAGCCTTTTAAACTTCATCCTCTAAAAATTATAGCTTGGATTATGATGTATTCCTATGACTTTCAAGAGACCTCAAGACTCCAAATGAATTCAAAAAAGCTGATACAAATAGTCATGCTTATTACTAAGCAAGGCACATGGTGTAGCACACAGCTAATGTTGTATAAGCTTGGGGCTTACAGACTTCCCTTTAAGAAACAGATTTGCTGTTGTACGTAGTTTTATTGTAGTTTATTCAATCTTAGAAATTAATACTCTTGCAAGTGCCCTTTATTTCATTCAGAGCACAGCTTTCCCATGTGACTCTGGCAATGTAATGGTATTGTGAGTGTCCAGGCTTCCAGCAGTGTCCAAGTTAATAACACTCTGCGATAGCTGCCACAATTTCCCAAGGATCAGTAACAGAATGCTACTGGCGTGAGATGTCTGCTGGAGAGAGATGAATTAAATCACAGGCTCTGCAGAAACCTCAGCAATCCGTCTGTATGCCTGCCTTTCTAGGGATTTAAACATGAGAGGGAATGTGGATGAGACAAAGATAAACTTCTTACAGCTTACACTATTTCTACTCATTATAATTTTAAGCATTTCCCAAGTTGTTTTTCAAAGGGCTTGCGTAATTGCTCCTCAAAGACTGAAGCATTCTTTGCATTATTTTTTTAAAACCATAGGACTTAGAGTTGAAATTGCTATGCTTATATATAGGTGTGCCCTAGAAAAAGGATGTCTGGAAGATCTTTCATATGAAGACTGTTTTGAGTGAGATTATTTGAGCCAAATACATGAATGATGTGTTTGCCTGTTAGAGCAT